GGCTCTGGTCTAGAGAAGAGTATCCTTTGTTTGGGACAACCAGCCTAAAAAGAAGCAAGGAAAGTACAGAAGGGAAAAAGAATTCCAACAGTCTTATTGCCCAAACTACTGATGACATCTGTAGTTTGAGCAACAGTTTCTCTAACTAACAGGTTTAAACCAGTTCCCTACTATAGCATGTGGTGTAACTGTAAATGTCCTGGCATACTTCAGCTTACATACCTTTGAAATTTGTTTAGAACCATTATTTAATTGTCATAGATGCCTTTTACAAAACCAGAGTACACACTACAGTTTTAGTTACGTATTCTGTTTATTTAAGGATACCTGATATATGTAGGGCTCCCCCTTATTTTCACTTTTTTGAGAATGACTTCAGCAGGCTTTCAAATCTGCATAAACTGACCATACAGATCCCTCACCTTTCACCAACCTAGACTAAAGTCACAGATACAAAGGAATAGTTATAGTTACAGCTTTATATTTACATTAGGATTTTTAAACTGCACTGCAAAAACTATGGATTACTAAATTGTGGTCTCCTTTTCTGCTTTTAGAAAGTTTTGTGACTTCATCTTCCAGTGTGGGAATTCTTAGATACTGTGTGGGGAACCCTTAGGTAATCCCCCAAAAACCCTCGAAAAAGCAATGACAATTGGCACTCAGCCTTGTAGACCAGAGAGAGATCTAGGCATCAGCATCGTTCCAAATGTTTTTAAAATATATGCCGCTGTTTTTGAACTGTTTCTTTACTCCTGCTAGGCCCTGCTTAAGGGGTAGAATATTGATTTCCTTGATACAAACTCGCTATATTTATTTTGATATTTTATTATAAAAACCATTTCTCTTCACCTATGTGAAAACGTCACATAATGTCCACATGTTTATTGAAGAGACAGAACACCCATTATGGAAAACTGGGAAGAAAGTATCAATGTAAAGATATGACATCTATCTATCCAGATATGATATAAAGATATAACAGGAACAGTATCAAGCAATCTCTTGCATTCAGGGATCAAATTCAATCATGTTTCAAATTCAATCTTTCTGTTAAGTTTTATGGCCTTAAAACCAGACTGTAAAAACCTGATACAAAAAGTGAACAGCTAGTAACTTAACCTATGATTTTAAACTACATGTACAAAACAACCACTAGACTTATTATGTACCCACTGTGTACAACTCAAAACACCCACACAAAACAGAAATATAAAGATGGGCTACTATTAGGCTCTTGAAGAGTACATATTATGTGTTCTCTTTCATACGTAAGCAAACACGCATATTCTGCACTCTGCACATCACTAAACCTGTGCTCAGCTGCATGTGATCTGAAGTAAAAACGTATTGACTAATCTCTTGATTTTGAACCAATTGCTCGTAGGTGCAAGGCCGGTGAATTAAACCTCCTGTGCCAGCTGACCTTTTAGTGGTCAGATGCTCTCCCCCGCCCCTTTTCTTACCTTGTTCTGGCCATGACGTTATTTTTCTTGGGCTGCTGATTCACAGGGCTGCCCATGTTGCCATTCTTCAGGGAGCCCTTCCTGGCCAGCTCCCTCTGTTTCTCTGAAATCAGAGGACAGGCCACCATCAGCCCCTTTTCTCCAGCAGAAGCACCGCCTTAACAGCCTAGAACTCCAGCAGAGTTGTTCTTAGACTGCCTTCAGTCTCTTTATTTGTGGTCTCCAAGATATTAAGTGAAAATCGATTAAACAAAACTGGACTCCTGAACGTCTCCTATGTCTCCTAGTTTAATGTAAGCTTAGAGAATTCTGGTGGAACAGGGGATACTTTGATTCAGCACTTAAAACGCACGTCTCTAATTAGGTTAGAAGAAGCCCTCTGAGGACAAACACTGACTAAGGTTTTTGAAGCCATGTGCATTTTAATTCCTTTCTAATTCAACATAATGCAGTCTCCATACTAGAGTGAGGAGTACTGTAGATCAGCCAGTGCTCACTGTGTCAGCAGAAGTGAATGAGGGGTTTAATGGACACTGACAGACTATACAACACCATGCATGGTGTAAGATGGTGGACTTTATACACTGCTCAGTGATATTTTATAGCTGTCACCTGGTATGCAGGAATTCTGCAAACATTTTACAGAACACCTACTTTCCATATGCATTAATGGTTCTATGTTCTTCTTTACAAACTTCCAGCAATCAACATTATTTATTAATGTTCATGGATTAATCTAATTAAAGAATGCATCATTTATTACAGCAGACTTATAAACAACAAGTATCCTAGTCATAATTGGAAGCACAGTTAAGGTCTTCTTCTGCAAAAATTAAAAAGGGGCCAGACATTTACTTATTGCATTTTTGTTAGGTTTTAGATCACAAATTGTAAATGCAACAGTCGAAATTATACATTTAAATCAGTGTACAGTAAAATGCTAATTTTGTAAAAAAAAAAACTAAAGAAGAAACAAAGTGCATTGACACAGTACTGTTTATTTACATCTGTCAAGCTTAGTTATCTTCAGTCATCGTAAGAGTCTGCTCCCCATATCTCCCCAGTTTCTTTTAAACCTTTCCTTCATTATACATTAGTCAAGTGAACACCAACCAAGGGATTAATTAAGTGCAGAGCCATATACAGCCACCATTAAAAGTATGGTCTACAGTAAAGCTGTATTCACATTCAAAGCATTTATTTTGTACAGATGGAAAAGTCTCAGAAGACAGGTATCTCATTGTTTCTGCATAGTTACGACCAGGTTTATTGCCCTGCCTATTACAGTTACCTAACCAGCAGCCCAGGAGAAACTCGATTCTAATTTCTCAGAGGGAAAACGCCTGGACCCTAGACTAGCTGTTTTGCACAGGAAATGGCTTGAACGCCTGCCAGCGAGCACTGAAAACCAGCCCGCAGTGTGGTGTACTGGGCCGCGTGCTCTGCATTTAGAGCAGCTTCTCTTGCAGTCAGAAAGCACAGCAGCCGATAGAGCCGCTCAAAGTCCATGCAATGGTTATAACATAGCTTTTATACTCAGCAGTTACAGTGGGCTCAACAATTACTGGAAACCTTAATAAACTTGAGCAAAAAAAGCTGTTTAATAAACTGCACAAATAATGAGCTGATAACTTTGACTGCAAAGTTAAAAAACTGTATTATTTATTTTATTACTTATTACATATTTGACAACTGAATCACAATAAGTTTTCCCACTTTAGAAGGCATAGAATATTGATCACTATGCAGCTTTTGAATATAATAATTCTTACTATTATATAGTAAGTTTCTGGACACTCCACTCAAAGTGCTTTACAGGTAGTGGAGACTCCCCTGCACCAGCGATGTAAAGCACCCATCTAGATGATGCAACCGCAGCCAAAGTGCACCAGTCTGCTCACCACACATCAGCTATCAGTAGGGAAGAAGAATACAGCGATGAAGCCAGTTCAAAGATAGGGAATATTAGGAGGCAATGATCGATAAAGGCCAGGGGGAAATTTGGCCAGGACACCAGGGTTACCACCCTACTCTTTCTGAGAAACGCCCTGAGATTTTTAATTACCTTGGAGAGTCAGGACCTCAGTTCTACATCTCATTGAAGGACGTATAGTCCCCCATGTTCCCATTACAATTATATCACCCTGAACCTCACGACTGGCAGCCCACTGAAGCTCAGCAGGTGTGAGCCTGGTCAGTACCTGGATTGGATACTGTTGCTGCTAGAAGAGGTGTTATTGAGGCCTCACCCTATGGTCTGTATGGGTCCTAATGCCCCAGTACAGTGACGGGAACACTATACTGTAAACAGGCGCCGTCCTTCGGATGAGACGTAAAACCAAGGTCCTGACACTCCGTGGTCATTAAAAATCCCAGGGTGTTTCTCGAAAAGAGTAGGGGTGTAACCCTGGCATCCTGGCCAAATTTCACATTAGCCTTTACCAATCTTGGCCTCCTAATAATCCCCATCTATGAATTGACGTCATTACTCATTCTCCTCCCCACTGACAGCTGATGTGTGGTGAGCGTGCTGGCGCACTATGGCTGCTGTCACATCATCTAGGTGGGGCTGCACATTGGTGGTGGTGGAGGGGAGTCTCTATTACTTGTAAAGCGCTTTGAGTGGAGTATCCAGAAAAGTGCTATATAAGTGTAAGCTATTATTATTGATTGAGAATGAGTATCCCCACTGTGAATGCTGTATACTCAGTGACTCTGTGCATACTGAAGATTAAATATGTAAATATTTAAGATTAAAATGACTGTGTAAACACCCAGAAGAAGGTAAAAAAGATTGAGTTGTTGAGTCCATCCATTTTCTAACTGCTTCACCCAATTCAAGATTACAGGGGACCAGTGCCTATCCCAACAAGCAACAGGCACAAGGCAGGATACACCCCAGATGGGATGCTAGTCCATCGCAGGGCACACACACGCACTCTCACATCAGGGCCAATTTTCCTACAATTAAATTAATCTAACCTTTAAATTCAGTTAGATTAATATACTGTATCACACAATCTAAAGGTTCAAAATGGAAATTGCATAGGGTATAAATGAACAAACATGCATTAAAAAAATTATAGCGTAATAAAAAAGCAGAGAGACAACCATATGGACAGAGAGGGCACTATAATATTAAGCCATCAACATATCATACTTGTCCACGAACATAAAAACAATTTTTTTTTTTAATAAACATATTATGTTTTAAAGGATTCAAGTGTACAGTATGGCCATCGTCACTGAGCAATCTAGGGAGTTTATCTGGTAACATTCTTTAGCAGTGTTGATGCAATTATCTTCAGAACAGTTATCATAGACAAATTAGCATTTTTAAACATTGTTTTTTCCAGTCAAACCTATAAAAAAGCATATTTTTTGAATAAACGGTTCAAATAGCTCTGTCCATGGTGCTGAAGTAGAAAACTTAAAAAACAGTAGAAAAGTCTTTATATCCATTTACTATTATTAAGTGAACTATGAAGAAAAAAAAGCTAAATGTTAATTGTATACTGTATACTACAGTGTCATGACTTCCTAAAGAAACTTTAATCCCTTTTCAGTTCCAATACAAAATGTAAACTTTTGTAAAAGAGTGTTTGGCCACAGAACCTTAATATGCCAAAAATACAAATATTTATCATTTATCATTCAAAGAAAATTAGTTTTTATAGCTTAATGGTTCATAGACGTAGTTTAGTCAAGCACCTCAGACCAAGCACAGGAATTTTCACCCTCATTAAATTAGTCACTTACAGTAATAATACAGTTTCACATGTGGTGGGGCAACTACATTTTATAGTATAAGGTATCTAGAACTACAGATACTGTAGCTACACAGTGTGACTTTTACCAACACCTGTTGAAAAAGTCAGCAGCTGCTCGTGAATGACAACTATTTAGATTTCAGTCTTGTTTAGTATCTGTAATTCATTCTGACAAATAATTTCACAAAAATATTCTTGGTGGAAACCTACGTCTTTGTCCTGAATACAGAATGCTTTGCATTGTCTTTCTGTTTCTTACATCTAAACAAATAGCCCAGTGGTACTGTATGCATACACACATCTGTCCTGAAATGAGTTATCATTTTATTGGCTGTCTAAAAAATGACTTTCCTCTGTGCAAAACACAAAAGCATCTTGGGAATGTTCCAAAGATGAACTGTTAGCAGAAGCGCACTGAGAGTATTACCTGTGACACAGCTGTAAAACCAGATTAAGCAAACTGCATGCACTTCCACAGATTAAGCTCAAGGGGTTTATTTTGCCTCACAACAAAATGCTGAAGCTCCTTCTGTCTGGAGTCTCATGCAATTCCGCAGAGGCAGCCAGCTCTGACAAACAGCAAGAGAATGGAAAAAAAACTATCTGAAAACTGGAATTAACAGCACTATTAGAGGCCTGCTGAGCAGCTCAACAGTTAAAAGACACCAGCTAAAGTACAGTTGTGAGAAAACATTTGTGAACCCTTTGGAATTATCAATGACCTTGATTGTTTAAACCATCTGTTCAATAAAGATATGGCAATGTAAAATGCTGTGTGTGTTGCTTGTTAAATAAGACTGTCTTTATTTATTATTATGACTTACATAAAGATAAGATCACATTTTAGGAGCCATTCTTGCAGAAATCCATATAATTCCACAAACTTTACTCACAACTGTATATCACCCTGCAACTCACTGGCAACCCATTGAAGCTAAGTAAATGTGAGCCTGGCCAGTACCCAGATGGGAGATCTCCCGGGAAAGCTAAGGTTGCTGCTGAAAAAGGTATTAATGGGATCAGTAGGGAGCGCTCTCCCTGTGGTCTGTATGGGTCCTTTGGTGAAATGTAAAACCGAAGTCCTGACTCTCCGTGGTCATTAAAAATCCCTGGGTGTTTCTTGAAAAGACTAGGAGTTTTACCCTGGTGTCTGGCCAAATTTCCTACTGGCCTTTACCAATCATGGCCTCCTAATTATCCCCATCCATGAACCCGCTTCAGCATTCTGTGGAGGGGTGGATGAGAAGGTTGATTTCATGGTCACAGATTTAAACTTGGGTTATTTTACTTGCTTGCCAGGACTGTGACCAGGAGCAATGGAACACAACTGGTTTACCACACAGGGAAGGGTCAGGTCGCCAGGACACCCTCAGCTCTCACTAACACTGTGGCCTCCCGAGAGCTTGCAGGCATGCTTTTGGGGAAGGATGCACCCCTTCTCCAGATAGGGCTGAACCAACTTGTAGAGAGCTCTGGTGCCTGTCACACACCAAAAGATGGACGGTGGAAATAACGTCTACACTGTGCCATTCTCTCATTCCATCACAATTATGATCCAAAGCACACTTCCAATTCAACAGGGGAATAGCTAACTGCACACAACATAAATGTTCTTAACTGGTCATTTTAATCTCCTGTCCTCAATTCCACTGTTTTCTGAAGGTAAATTATGACAAATATGACTTTGCTCTGTACAATGCTATTAAGAATACTGAGCACTGAAATTAGTACAATGTTCAGGAAGGTTAGTATTGTGTAACGGAACACACTGTATTTCAGTGTGATCTTGGTTTCTACAAGTTATTTAATGGTAAGTTAAGTCTCCTTGCCAGGTAATTAATGCAAGTATAGTAAATGCTCGAATTAAGGTTGTGAAGTTATGCAATCAGACAGACTGAAGCAAAACACACACCTAAATGTTCTGTCTTGATCAGTGTGATTCATGTACCTTCAGGTGAGATTGTATAACATGTTCAGAAACTGCACAGACACACTGGTGTTTCTGAAGACATACAGTAAAACCCGTTGCAAGTACACTGCATGAAGACTTCAGGAGATGCCTTGTCTGAATGGCATTTTTCTGCAACTGATGAATGACAGACTTACAACACAGAATTGCAGGAGAAGCAAGAAACTCTCGTTCTCCCTTGACAGGATGCAGGCTGAACCTAATGGGTGATGCAGGAAATTTAGCATTTCAACTTAGAGGAACGCATGAGGGAAAAGGACTTCCTTTTAAAAATGTTTGCAGTTTTTTTTTTACATGCACTTTGTCTTTTTATCTTCATTTACCTAAAATGCACATGTCCAGCTTTTACAGGAGAAATAATGCATCATTTCAGTTGATGGGATATCTTAGAATGGTTAAACCCTAAGCGACAGCAGGTTAACATCTCCTGTCCTCTCTCCCTCCTCAAAACCTGTCCCTAGTCTCTGCTGGAATCGAGGGCCCAGAAAGTGATCACTAATGAGCAGACGCCATGAGCAGAGCCTGCTGCAGCTTACGCACAGCTCACAGTCACACGCATGTCTCCTTTCCACAGCCACAAGAGCAGCAGCTCCTGAGGGATTCCTGGGAACGCTGTGCCATTAACCTCTGAATGTAAGGGCTCAGCTGCCTTCAAAGAGGGACTAAACATACAGTTCATGTTTAATCAACATATGCTTATATGCTTCATTTGGTCACCCATGATACAAGCTGTGCCCACTTCTGCAGAGAGATGCTGTCTAGTCTGCATAGGAACCACAGGCTCAAAACCTAAAAAGCTGACAAGATATTACTGACAGCTGCCTGAGCAGCCACGAGGAGTTTTAGTTTGAACTGGACTTTAAAAGGCCCTTTTCCTTAAACAAAAACAGATCTGACCCTAGACACGCCAATGTAGAAAAGAAAAGCAGCTAATCAGCAATGAAAACTAGACACTGAAATCATATGAGGAATTTAATTTGCTTGAATGGGTCTCATTACATTCTCAACAAATACTGTAATGTCAGCAGAGACCTTCTTGATGATTAATGTCATCGCTGCAGTACGGTATAGTGACAAGGGTTTTGAAATTGTGACTGGAAGGTTGTGGGTTCAGTTCCTGGGTGGAACACTGCATTTGTACTCTAGAGTAAGGTACTTTTTTTTTTTACTGCAGTAAAAAAAAAACAGCCAAGAAAATATACGTTTGGATAACAGTCAAATAAATTACTAATATTCTAAAACCAGCAGCATGTAGAAATACTGTACTGCTTCTCTATGCTTCTTTGTACTCACCTTTCATATGTTCTCTGAGTTAATGAAATATGACAAATACCACTGAGAAATACTGTACAAAATAGTGCAAAAGCAGAGGTGCTCTTATCAATAACAGGACCTTGACTATAAGCTAAGCATACATTACTTTTGTCATATGCTACACAATTTATAGAAGTAGGCTCCACAATAAAATATCCCTTTTTAATCTTTCTCCTTCTCAGTTTGGAATTAGCCTCTGCTTGCTCCTCTATAGTTTGAACAGTTTGCTCACATTGTTCCCAGATTAAACCTACTACAACCTTCTTTAGGCATCATGACAAAGTGAAGAATTACAAAAGCTTATGGAAAAGCAATGGAATTGTGATTTTGCCAAGTTTCTCTTTTATAATCACTCTACAAGCTGTCCATTTCAATAGAAAAAAAACATAGACATGCACAAATCTAGTCTTCTGATCTTCAACCCACGTTGTAAGTGGACAGGCATGGTGCAAAATGTTTGGGTACACAAATATAAGTGGGGAGAAAACTACACATCTACACATCAGTCCTTTGCTCCTCTCTTAGAGCAGAGAGGTGTTTCATCCTGTCTCTTTAATTTTATTTTTTTTAAATATAGAAACAGATGAGATTAGACACAGGCTCTATGTGAAACAGACAAGAGTAATTGGACACGGGTAGCAATACTAAACAATCTGTAAACTGTAAACAACAGGTTTGAGTTACACTGTCATAGACTAGATATAGGCTGGTCCATTTACCCACACTACACAGTTCAACTCACTGCTCAAAGGTCTTTGAGCTGGAAAATGTGAAGCCTTTTCTGCCAATCCAAATTCTGCACATTATCTTTTTATAAAAAAACCCAGTGTGATATTCTTCCATCACTGTTTTTATCTCCTCTATGATTGGCCAAGTCTGACGGACAAAAAATAGCACCATTCCATACACAAAGCAGGGTTTGATGAGATACCTCCTTCAGATAAAAAAACAAAGACTTGATGGGATTTTCACATTTCTGAAGGGCCGCTCTTCTGTGTGTTGATTGCACCTTCTCTTTGTCTTGTGCATGCCAGTGATTCCAGGAGTCCTGGACTTAAATGGAGGCAGCTCAAACCTGATCTCAGCTCTCAGTGGTCAGTAACTGATGATGACCGAGACACCTCCTTCACAACAACAGGCTTTTAATTGAACCCTTAATCCCAAGAGTTTGGCACAGGGCAGGACCTGGATACAGACAGTGTACCGAAGCAAAAGATTTTATATTCCGAATATTGTGCGCTTTGGTGGTTATTTTCAGTATTTTTGAGAAAACATACATTTATTACAAAAGCTAAAAAGATTAACAGGATGTGCAAACTTGCTTTGATAACACTCTTTGAATCATTATAAGGGTTGCAGAAAACAAACGGTAGTAAATGGAAGACCCAGGAAAGCTTGACTAAGTCAATTCACTCAGATAACCTTGACGACAAGCCACAAGATGGCTCAGAGGAAACAGGCAGGAGGCCATTAATGTTCCCCAGGTGATATTTTTGACCCTGAGCTCGAGTGTGGTTTTTGCCCATAGTGTAGGTGAGTGACATTTGTGCTGTAGCCTTAAAATCCCAACCAAGCAAACTTTTATTTACAACTTTAAAAATTCAATTTCCTTCTTCTTCTCCTTCTCTTCTGAGGCAGTGTCACTGACTTAAATTGGGCTGATCTTAGATCTGCTGGTGACGGGTAGGAGCATATTATAACAAATCTTGTTCGTTCTTTTTGCTCTGGTCAAAGTTCCACGGTGACCAATGAGGGTCCCCATTACATCACTGGGAGCTACTGAAAAATACAGTCACACTCTGAACGGCATTACGCTATATAACCACATACCAAATCAATGTTCTTCATATGTAACATAATTAGATTTTTTATTTCTTCTCTTTAGGAATTGTAAAGGAAAAAAAATGTATATAAAAAAGCCCAAAAGGAAAAAATAAATAAATTAAACACTGCTCTCCCATATGTTTCAACTCGTAAAAGTGCCTGGAATTTGGCCCTTGTCGTGCCTTACATCACGATTTCAGATCTGGGCTATGGTATTGGTCATCTGTAACCAGAATTTCTCTAGGTAGTGCCCAATTGGGCACAGCTCAGCAGCCAAGATTCACTTGGTCTGAGCTGGCCAACGAACACAAGAGCTTGAAAATACTGATTGGTTAGAGCTGTGTACTGTATGTCCTCCTCCAGAACTGTGATGCGTCCATCAGCACGGTATTAAGTGAGCATCTCGGTAGATAATAATAATAATAATAATAATAATAATAATAATAATAATAATTGCTTACACTTATATAGCGCTTTTCTGGACACTCCACTCAAAGCGCTTTACAGGTAATGGAGACTCCCCTCCACCACCACCAGTGTGCAGCCCCACCTGGATGATGCGACGGCAGCCATAGTGAGCCAGAACGCTCACCACACACCAGCTCTCAGTGAGGAGGAGAGCAGAGATTAATGAAGCCAATTCATAGATGGGGATTATTAGGAGGCCATGATTGGTGAGGACCAATGGGAAATTTGGCCAGGACGACGGGGTTACACCCCTAATCTTTTCGAGAAACGCCCTGGGATTTTTAATGACCACAGAGAGTCAGGACCTTTTTTACGTCTCATCCGAAGGACAGCGCCTGTTTACAGTATAGTGTCCCCGTCACTGTACTGGGGCATTAGGACCCACACAGACCGCAGGGTGAGCGCCCCCTGCTGGCCCCACTAACACCTCTTCCAGCAGGAACCTTAGTTCTTTTTGTGCACATGTGCCTTCCTCGCTCCATAGTAGACTCTGATAACGCAAAGAGACAAAATGATCGATCTGTGCCTGAGAAGAAAGCTCACTGCTGCTCTTGCCATGGGCCCGGGAGGAGGAGAGACTCCAGGCCGGAGGGGGGAACGCACAAACTCGAAAGCATGGAGGCGACTCACCGATTTTCATCTGCAAGGGGGAAGGCTTGTAATTGATGGTCACAGGCTCCCCTTCCCGCGTGTCCGAGTCCCCCTCAGAGATGGATGAGGCAGCTGGGTCCTGTGTGAAGACACACCAACAGGAGAGAAGGATTGATACCGAAGGCTGTCTAGGGCTGTGGCAGGTAAAGAGCAGAGGAGTGATTGAGAAAGGAAAAGACTGAATTATTCACTTTAATTTCTCTACAAGTTCTGATGTCAAAGGCCTTATATGAGTAATCGCTCACACCCCCGCTTTTTGCATTTCCTATTCAAGTCCACATTCTAACTAAAAGCACAAAATAACACCCAAGGCAACATAATCCAGCTCTATGAAGATGGCACTTATACCATGATGCATACAGTACCTTCATGTTTCAGTTCACACTAGCCTGGGTTACTGTTAGGACTGAGGAAATCTCATTGCCATGCTTGTTGTGGGTAATGGAGGAGACAGTATTCATGGTTAAAAACGGAAGAAATCATGGTTAAAAACATGCATGTGCAGTTGGCAGTCACAATTAATTAGGTGAGCTCTTACTGTTTATACCTAACTGATTGAACAGTGATTGATGGGGCTGCTGTTTTTCATCTGTTTTTTGTTTAAAATAATATGCACAAAAAATAACCCCATAGGGAAATTACAACGGAGACAACCGCAATGGAGACATGTAGGTTAACAATGACTGACAGTAGAGTAGCCACAGTTCAATTTAGCATATTCCTTCTGCTGAAGAAGAGCCATTTACAGTTTTCTTTTTTTTCTTTAAAGAAAGCTAAGGGAAATAGTCACATCTGCGTAAACCAAGCTGAACTGTATTTCACTTTTTTGTATGTTGATCATTAATAAATCCCCACCTAAGAAATACTGTGATGAGTTAAATTTTGTTATTCCTTTAATTATGGATATGATTTATAAGGTCTGAAATTTGAACGCTGGGGGAATTCAAAAAGGTCAAAAAGGTAGATCAGGGACAAGATACAGAAAATGACCATTGCTGTCAATGGACCAAGAACAGGGGAAACCAGCTCTGATGAACTCAGAGCCTGTCCTTCACATTGGCATCCTGGCTCAGCCGCTATTAATAGTGCCAAGCAAAATTATACTTAAGAGACCCAATCGATTATAACACAGAAATGTAAGAGGGGACTCCAAAACAGAAAACCACTAGTACACAATATATAGAAAACAGAGATCATTATTTTGAAAGCTTATTTTCTTACTGTACATTTAGGAGCTTAGCTGATCAAACTATAGCACAAAGCAATAGACTGCGCTACTGTATTTCTTATTTCTGAACTTTATACCACTGAAGAGCTGTCCTGAAAACCATTTAAGACACGTCTGTGATTCTAAAATAAGTAGATACAATACATTCAAAGATGAATTTAGTTCAAAACGCTTTTCACGTCAAGTAGGTTATAATACATGATGATCAAATACTTTAGAATTCCTTCTTGATTTATGCTTTGTTACAGAAATGTTGGTTATGCAAAAAAGGATTTCTCCTTTTAAATCAGGAACTTTTATGCTTATGATGAAACACCGCTATCATGTTTCTCAATGTCTTTTTCTCATGGCTTTTCATATCTGGTGAAGCTCAGGTGATATACTATACTATACACTATACTATAGCATGTAGGTTTTATAAGACATTGAACAACTTGTAAACTAAAAATGACCAAAAAGATACTCCTAGGCAATCAGTCCAGGAACGAGTGATGATATACTATATGTCCATGGATCTAAAAAAGTCTAACTTTAACACAAAGACAATACATCTTTTTGACACTTGAACAGCTAGAACTACTAGGGGACATGATTCAAGTATTAAAAATCTTCAAAGCCCAGATGAAATCAACCCACTGGACATCTTCAGAAACAATGAAACAAGATCCAGAGGGCACCAGTGGAAATTACAAGGATGTGCATTTAAGTTTGAGAGCTGGAGGCACTTTTTGATATAAAGGGTTGTGGGAGTCTGGAATAAGCCACCCAGCCATGATGTGAACCAAGCAATCACGATGGGCCAAGTGGCCTCCTCTCATCAATAAACCTTTCTTTTTTATATCAACAATATTCCATCTGATTCCCCAACCAAAACACTCAGAAATAGCTGTCTTATGCTGGCACTATTTACAGGTCTAAACATCAAGAATGTTGTACTTTGCTGAGAAGTGACTGAGGAATTGCAGGTCTTCTCCAAACAAGATTATAATTTTATATGTTCATGGTAAGACCACCTCAGATTTCTAGTGTTCCTTCTCTTAACAATCTCCATGTTCTTATTAATAACAAAAATTGCTTACACTTATATAGCGCTTTTCTGGACACTCCACTCAAAGCGCTTTACAGGTAATGGGGATCCCCTCCATCACCACCAATGTGCAGCCCCACCTGGATGATGCGACGGCAGCCATAGTGCGCCAGAACACTCACCACACAGCAGCTCTCAGTGGGGAGGAGAGCAGGGTACTGAAGCCAATTCATAAATGGGGAATTTGGCCAGGGGTTACACCACTACTCTGTACGAGAAACGCCTTGGGATTTTTAATGACCACAGAGAGTCACAACCTCGGTTTTACATCTCATCAGAAGGACGGCACCTGTTTACAAAATAGTGTCCCCGTCACTATACTGGGGCACTAGGACCCACATGGACTGCAGGGTGAGCGCCCCCTGCTGGCCCCACTAACACCTCTTCCAGCAGCAACCTTAGTTTTTCCCAGGAGGTCTCCCATCCAGGTACTGAGCAGGCTCACACCTGCTGAGCTTCAGAGTGCTGCCAGTTCTGAGTTGCAGAGTGATAGGGCTGCTCAGTGCCAATACACTGCTGTGACAATGTTTAAATCCCTGCCACCAAATGAGCCTGTTTGAGCTGTTTCTCCAGGGACTCTTCCCCTCAATACTAGTGTGCAATCTGAAACCAAGTCAATGAGCAAACAGACAGGGGAAGTAGATTACACATCCTGATCTCAGTCAGCCCTATTTGTTTAATGAGCTTAAGATCTGTGATGACAGAGCACCACAGCTATTGGCCCGAAACTGAAGATGGGTCCAGCTGCCGTACCCCTCTGACAGGAGTCCCTATCCCCGTCCACCGCTCTGGGAACACATTTTGTTACAAATTTCTACAGTACTTAACAATTGAGATGCAATGGAGCGCAATGCTTTTGTTCGATGCCTTCTTACTGTTGGTGATTTAAAATTAGTATTGACTTGATATATAATCAACATACTTCTGTGAACAGGTATTGTCACGCAAGAAGTCAGTTCTTCGTCCATGCTGTAGCTGCTCAACAACTCAACACCCAGAGGCTTGCGTACTGCTGAAAATGACAAGCTACCAGCCTGAAACTACAGAACCCCTCAAGGGAAAGCAAAGGCAAGATGTGCATATTAAAAGTATTCATTTTAAAAATGGTTAAATAATTAAATATGTATTAGGCAAAATGTGAGTAGAGCTATTCATGACATTAAAAAAAGTCTCAATACAAATCTGTAAAAACAAGTGCATAAGCGAACTGTTGGCCGGCCCCTTCTGAAAGGTTGCCAACCCCTGCTCTATATCATCTGTCTGCTGTCCTTGTCATTTTAAGCTGTGTTCCAGGACTGATGAAGGCTCTGATGAATTACTATGTTGTTAATTAGCTAGAGTCAATCACCAGAAAATAACCTTTGATCATTTGTGTTTGCCTATTCTTAGCTCACCTGCAGCTAGTCAAACACCTCAAATGATACCCATTGTCTGGATAAGGCCTGGAGTGAGTAATAAAATGTTATACATCCTACAGTAGTTCATAACAAACAGCAAAGTTGGATAACCTTCTATCCCTCCCATAAGCATAACTTACACTTTTTACATTTAGAGTTAGAAAATTCACTTTATTTTTCCATAACCCTTTGCATGACGAAGAGGTGCTTGCTCTTCTGCTTTCATCAGAAGGAAAACATATTGATTCTCCCACAAGAAGGTTATTCACAGTACCTCCAGGCATCATCTCACCTTAATTCAGTAGGCAAAAGCCACAACATCAAGGAAGGCAATCAATCAGAAGTGCTACCCCGAAGCAGCTCTTTGACATTCCCTTCACTACAAGTGCAGAATCAAAAACAAGGTTTTCAAAGATCACACCGAGGCCCAATCACCTAGATTATTTTATTTTACTTATAGAATGCATACGATGGCACTGATGGCCATATCACCAAAGGCTGCATCAAAAGACTTTCTTAAAAGAAGAGTATCATCTGATCCATTCAGTGTACAGAGGGGTCTCCTCTTTGATCTGAAGTTTTATCATTATAGAGCAATAAACCCAGATGCTGCTCTGTCCTTCTGCCCCACACTGAGATCAGTGAAAAAAAGTGGAGATGACACTGTCCCTCTGCAGCAGCACTAAAAGTACTGTACACAGGTTACTGGCAATTCTTATGAAAGCTATTCTTACAACCCTATACCCTCAATACACTTAAACACTTACTCAACTGGCAGCTGTAGGAGTGAGGAGTCAATCTACCATGTTTCAGGTTCATCAGAAATGCCACCATTGGTGCAACGCTTTCCATAAAAAAGTGAGTGGTCTAACACTGGTCTATTTTAGGAAGGGTCCAGAGAAGCAAATTTCATCCAGTGTAGAGTAAAATCTTTTTAAGACTATTAAGAGATGCAACATTATGTTTCTGGGAATTTATTGCATTTATTACCAATCCTGCAGCACATTAATAAAAATGCACTATAAATACTGCAGGTAGGTAGCTGAGTCTGTATGCGTAGGCTGCAAAGAAACAAGTAATAAGTTTATTCCATTTTGAAAAGAGAAGAGAGAAAGCACAACGTTTCAGCTGTGACAAAGACATACAAATAGTAAGCCCTCCGAGAGATGAAAAAAAAGTATAAGACCCTACTATTAACCTTAAATAGAACTGTGCTCCATGAATGCGTCTCATTTTCTACTTTTTTTTATGAAACAGTTAAAGAATAAATCCTGCTGGTTTATTTAATGGATAACTACAATTTCTTTATAACACACAAGCTATGATTCCTAAGTCATTTACTTCTAGAGAGTGAGCTCAACAAGAAC